CACTAAAATCACAATACTAATATTAATGTCGGTGTAAATTTCTTGACTTTCAAACGTGAAACTATAGAGCTTTTATTTTGGAGTAAAACTGCAGAGAGACCCAAGAACTCGTTTGTTGACATCAGATTTATAAATGATTCTCATTACAAGTTTGGGAAGACGTTTGCCGTATTTTGTCTTTACAAAATCAAGTTAAAAGCGTCCTAAACTCACTGTGCTTGCAGATCTGTGAGGAACTCTATACTCTAACAGTAATAAGCATTACTAACTACAAGGAACACACAAATATTGGGAGAAATTGTTGAGTTTACATCATAAGTGATGCTTTAATATGCCGTCTAGGTAGAGAAATTAATCTTACGTTTCGGCGAGTCCTGAGAGGTATTTATCTGCAACTCTGCGGATCCTCTTGTGGGTGTGGTTAAAGTTGACCAATAGGAACTGAGCATGACGCTCAAGCTCCTCCTCGTGCGCTTTAGTCTTGGGCTGAAACGCAAAACACAGACGTTATCAATGAGCGATCAATACTGCATTCAGACATCCGTCAAATACTCGACTCACCTTCTCAGCCATCATCTGCAGGAAAACATCGAAGACTTTATCACCGACACAGATCACACACTGCATCATGCCTGGGCGGAGATAAAGACACAAAGCGATGTATTGAATATTCACAGTATATTTGCAATGGTTTCTCTGGTTACATAACACTAAACAAAGTTGATTTTCTAAATATCATGATTAAACTAGTTCATGATCATTTGTGTTATGAGAGAGTTTCCATTCATTAATTTCCACAAATCAGTTCGATTTCAAGTAATTGAGTCAAAACTGTTGATTCGATGATATAACGAATAAAAGTTCTAATATGTATAATTAATACAAATATAATAACAAAAGGTAAATCACATCGTATAAAATTCTTAAGTGTCGTATTTCTCATATTAAAATGTTCTGGTAAAAAATAATGTAGGTAAATGTCACTGTTTATCATATCGGTGCATAAAAATGTAAATTAATAAATATGATTCTTCACGTTCATTTACGTTAATAAAAAAACAGTGCGGAAAACAAGCATTGAATAATTGCAACTAGATTTTTACACATGCTTACTTCTTGTGGTGAAACATTTTTAATTTTTTTTAAAACAACCATATGAAATTATGTTGAATTTCAGACCCGATTTGTCTTTCTGGATGGCCTTGTCCTCAAAGTATCTGAACATCACCTGGAAGCGGTCGGCATCGTTCGAGTGCAACATCCTGAGAAAGAGAGACAGAACAAAGAGAGATGGGTAAATCAAACACACACTCACTCACACACACATACAATTTTATATTCTAGGAGGCACTTCTGGTTTATTTATCATAAAGGTCATTTAATCATAAAATGACTATTGTTTTGCATCAATAAGGGCCGTTACTAATAATATTACATGTGTGTTTGCTGGAAATTTGACATCACATAACTTGAATTAAAATGTACTTTTATTAACAAAAGTAACGTGCAAAAACCTAATGTGAAAATTCTACTCGTTTTAAATGTATTTTTCTTCTATAGTATCATAATGACCAACAGCTTCAGTGATTACTACTTCCTACTTTTTTTTATACAGGTGAAACTTGAAAAATTAGAATATGGTGCAAAAGTTCATTTATTTCAGTAATTCAACTTAAAAGGTGAAACTAATGTATTATATAGACTCATTACATGCAAAGTGAGATATTTCAAGCCATTATTTGTTACAATATTTAATGATTATGGATTACAGATAAATTCAAAATTAGAATATTGTGAAAAGTTTTCATATCTGTAAGCCATAATCATCAAAATCATAACAAATAAAGGCAATATCTCACTTTGCATGTAATGAGTCCATATAATATATTAGTTTCACCTTTTAAGTTGAATTTCTGAAATAAATGAACTTTTACACCGTATTCATATTTCTCGAGTTTCACCTGTATTAGGGAGTGGAAATGGCTAAAAAGCCAATCAGCGCTGCTGTGCCACCATCTACTGGTTAGGGTGGTAATTGCATGTCTTAAAAAAAAAAGAGAGAAAAAAAGAAGTGTGTGTTTGCCATGAAGTTAGTTTTCCTACATCTTTAAACTTTTATTTAGAACAAACCTTTCTCTTATTGTTTACTGTTTAACTGAATTTACTCCCATTGTTTGAGTAAATGAGGAGGAGTGGTTCTGAAGGAAGTCAGAAAGACTGAAAACAGAAAGTGACCTCATATACTCCAGCCGGTAGACGGACAGCAGGTACGTGCACATGGCGAAGTCCAGTTTATTGATGAGGGCGGCGGCTTCAGGAGACGGATCCAGCAAATTAATGATGGTGCTGCGCAGTTCACTCAACTCCGCCTTCACAAAACGAGGATTTTATAAGACAAACAAGAGCTTTTCAGAATGGGAAACTAGTATATACTGTATATCACTACTGTAAACCAGTATGCAGTGTCTAACAGAATCGAAATCTCCAGGATTTTCTCCATATAATGGACTTCAATGGGGTCCAAACGGTTCAAGGTCCAAATGAGAGTTTCAGTGCAGCTTCAAAGGGCTTTAAACGACACCAGACGATTAATAAGGGTCTTATCAAGCGAAACGAGCGGTCATTTAAAAAATAAAAAAGTTTAAGTTTTATAAGCACAAATGCTCGCCTCGCCAAACTCGTTCTTCAAAATTTACTAATCTTTTACTAAACTAGTCATTTGGTTCATTCAACGAAAAAAATGAACGAAATGACTCATTTTGATGAACGAGTTCGAACAGGAAAGTCACGAAAGTGCATCACAGAACAGAGCAAGGCGAGCATTTGAGCTTATAAAACTTAAACTTTGTTATTTATTTTTTAAATGGCCGCTCGTTTCGCTTGATAAGACCCTTATTCATCGTCTGGTGTCGTTTAAAGCCCTTTGAAGCTGCACTGAAACTCTCGTTTGGACCTTGAACCGTTTGGACCCCATTGAAGTCCATTATATGGAGAAAATCCTGGAATGTTTTCATCAAAAACCTTCATTTCTTTTCGACTGAAGAAAGACAGACATGGACATCTTGGATGACATGGGGGCGAGTGAACTAGTCCTTTAACTTTTCACTTACTGATAGAGTTATTAGTGATTTGAATACTTAAATACAGTGAGAGCGTTTACCGGAGTAACCGTGTCGTTCTTCAGTGCCGAGTTGTACTGGAGCTCCGAACGCAGCGGTTCTCCACTCGGGAACGTGAGCAGTGGCGATTTAGTGGCGATTTCACACACTCCTTCGTACCATTCCTCAGGCCACAGACCTAAAACACAGGCAAACACACACTCCTGTAGAAACACTGCGAGAGAAATCCAGCTAGAGAACGCGTTTAGATTGTGTACGTGGTGAATTCATGTTTAAATGCCGTCATTGATGGCAATGATTTTATTTCCTTACCAGATCCTTCCACGGCAAAACCCATGACCACAGAATAGAGCCAGAAATCTCTGAAGAGCTTCTGCAGGCGAGGTTTGGCCTCTTTAATGGCGGGCAATCGGCGGGTCAGCTGCGTGAAATTACAAATAAGCAAATTAAATACACAATACAAAAACATTATCAAAATGCTAGTTCTTTAGAAAGGTTATATTATACAAAAAGGACTGTGTGGCGTCACTGTTTGTTTTTTTAACCTAAAAACTGTATTCTGGACAAATGTGGCCAAAATAGTTTTAATTTATTTAAAAAAAATACTTCCCTGTTTACATAACATTCACAAAGGATGAACCGTGACCATGGACTGATTTGATCTAATTTGCCGTATGTTATTATTATTTATTTTATTTTATTTTATTTTATTTATATATATATATATATATATTTTCTCTCGCTCTTATTATTGTTATTATTATTGTTATTATTTCTCTCTTTTATGTTAATAAAATGTTAAAATCAATAAAAAGACAATTAAAAAAAAAATACTCCCCTTGATATGAGCGGTACAAGACTTGGCTACTTTTCCTAAGTTTGCCTCCTGAACACACACGTTTTTTTTTTTACTCAATTCTACAATGTTAAGTGGGTGAAATAAAAACTCCTTAATCTTGTATTTGGGTCAAAAATGGGCACCCATAGAAATGAGTGGGAAAAACTGTAATTTACAGCATTCGAAAAAAAGCCAAAATAAGACCGCAAAGTCACTTCATCTTTAGGGTTTAGCTCTGAGAACTTATTGGAATTATATTTTAATGTAGTTAAAAATAATAAACAAAAAAAGCATAGTTTCCATAGAAAATATGGTACTTTTTAAAGTAAATAAATTCAAAAATACCCCAAAAATAAAAAAAAATAAAAAAACACCATAAATGGATAGACAAAACTTTATCGAAGACAGTGATATAACATTTATAATAAATAAAAATTAGGATCACACCTGAGTCCTCTGTGCCCACAATTACAGGATTAAGGGCTATAAAGTGAATACGGTTTGAGGGGCTAAAAATAAAAACACTTAAAGAAATAATTATACAAATAAATATATAATATTTAAAAAATCTAGTAAAAAATACATTGTTCAATACAGTATCGGTAACTTATCACATCAGGGATACTTTTACAGTCCACATTATTTAACATTAAGTTATAAAAAGTGAGTCCATATCAATTAAAAACATTTACTTTTCTCTATTCTACATGTCAGTTTTTCCAAAACAAGATTAAATGACATTTGATCCATTAGGAGATTATCCCATGTTAAACGAAATCTATAAACAACTACATTTACAGGGTAAATGCAATAAGCACAATTTCGCTTCCAAGGACAAACTACTGTATCAAAAACCTTTTCTTACAATGAAACGTCGTTTCCTCATTACATTTAATACAGCTGTCAGGAATATCAGGATTAACTGGGGTTATATAAATCCTAAGAGGCCACTTACAGCATATCTGTAGTAATTTGCACCTAGAATTAATGGACGGAGATCATTTCAAGGGTTAAACAAGTCAGATGTGAGGAATGTTTGAACTCGCAACTGTTTGATCAATGAAGAGCCACTTCAAAGTCCAGCTGGGGATCGAATCCACAAACGGACGTCCACATACAGAGCTTCCAGAGGGAAAGAGCAGGTAAGCAGCTCAAATTACCATAAAATACTAAGATTTCATAAGACACTGGTGTGATATTACGGAGATCAAGCTAAGAAAGTAACCAAAAGCAAAAGCTTTAAAGGAGTAGTTCACTTTTAAAAACAACTTTTGCTGATAATTTACTCGCCTCCATGTCATCCAAGATGTCCATGTGTTTCTTTCTTCAGTCGAAAAGAAATTAAGGTTTTTGATGAAAACATTCCAGGATTTTTTTCTCCATATAATGGACTTCAATGGGGTCCAAACGGTTCAAGGTCCAAATGAGAGTTTCAGTGCAAACTGTTCAAAGGGCTTTAAACGACACCAGACGATGAATAAGGGTCTTATCTAGGACCCTTCGCGTCATGACTTGTTCATTTTGATGTCATAAACGCGCATCACAGAACAGAGCAAGGCGAGCATTTGAGCTTATAAAACTTAAACTTTGTTATTTATTTTTGAAATGAGCGATCGTTTCGCTTGATAAGACCCTTATTCATCGTCTGGTGTCGTTTAAAGCCCTTTGAAGCTGCACTGAAACTCTCGTTTGGACCTTGAACCGTTTGGACCCCATTGAAGTCCATTATATGTAGAAAAATCCTGGAATGTTTTCATCAAAAAACCTTAATTTCTTTTCGACTGAAGAAAGAAAGACGTGGACATCTTGGATGACATCGGAGTGAGTAAATTATCAGCAAACGTTTTTTTAAAAGCGAACTACACCTTTAAGAACAATTGAAAATCACCATTGATAGTGTCTCTAAGGGTTACGGCCCTGGATTTTGCAACATGCGTAAGAGCATTGAGTGTTAGATTTCCGAGTGTAATATCTGCAAGTGAAGCCGTCAGTCGTTCAATATTCCCCATGTGTGCTTGTTTTATTTATTTTTTCATAGGATGTGGATCTTTCAAGTTATAGTTGCAGCCTCTCTCTTGAGTAGCCCAGCTCTGGCTGGGGTCAAAGACCTCAGTACACACTTTGGTGGAGTTGAGAAGGAAAAGGTGGATGCCCGTGGACTTTCTCCAGACATTGAGTCCATCCCGTTGGACTTCCATCGGGAAAACACGGTCACGAACGACCTCCCTCTGGAGGGACTGGAAGAGGAAGACTACTTAGACTTCGATAAGATCTTCGCGGAAGGTGAGGATGACTACAGCGAAGGCGATCACATAGATGAGATCTCCACGCCTGCCCCTGACCTTGACCTCTTCTTGGAGCCAAGTGACCCCAAAATACGGAGAGCGCGCCTGTTGCGGCTCTTCCACGGGCAAACGCGCCTCCAGCGAATCAACGTCGTCAACGGTCGCTTCGGGTTTCGGCTTTACCGGAAACTGCGCAATCGACTCAACCAGACGGACAACATTCTTCTCGCTCCCGTCGGGATCTCCATCGCGATGGGAATGATGTCTCTGGGAGCCGGACCAACCACTCAGGAACAACTCTACCAAACTCTCGGATTCGCTGAATTCGTCAACGCCAGCGCACATTACGATAACTCGACCGTGCACAAGCTTTTCCGCAAACTCACGCACAGGCTCTTCAGACGAAACTTCGGCTACACCTTACGCTCCGTCAACGACCTGTACGTGAAACGCAGCGTAAACGTACAGGAGGCTTTCCGCGCCGACGCGAAGACGTACTACTACGCCGAACCCCAGTCTGTGGATTTCGCCGACCCGGCGTTCCTTGTGAAGGCCAACCAACGCATTCAGAAAATCACCAAAGGTCTGATCAAGGAACCGCTGAAGAGCGTCGACCCCAACATGGCAGTGATGCTCCTGAACTACCTCTACTTCAAAGGTGAACCAATTCAAGCCCATTCTGGTGGTCAAGACCTAAAGTTAGACTAATTCAGGCAATCATAGTTCAAAAATTCATAGTTTCTTGAACTAATGGCGTACCCACTTTTTGGTGTGTTCGCACTGCAGGAACTGGGAACGAATTTAATTCTAGGAAAGTAGGTCCCACTTTATATTATGTGGCTTTAATTACTATGTACTTAAATTGAAAAATAAGTACAATGTACTTATTGTGCTCATGTTGTATTGTAAATCACTTTTGCTGCTTTGAGGTGGGATACGTTTAGGGTTAGGGACAAGTGTGGTCGTATGGGTAGGTTTAGGGGTGGGTTGAAGTATAAGGATGGGTCAGCTTTGTAATTACATAAATTAGTTACAGCTGTAATTACATGCTGGTATTTCTAAAATATAAGTACAATGTAAAAACATGTATGTGCACAATAAGTCCATTGTATCAAATTATTCGTTTCAATGTAAGTACATAGTACTTAAAGCCACTTAATATAAAGTGGGACCGGAAAGTATTTTACCTCAGAGTAGGGTTCAACCCAGAACAATAGGAACCACCAGTGACGCAAGTGATCGCCATTTTTAAAAATCAGTGTAAACGTAGAGTTTACGTCATGAACAAACTCCACGATTGACGTAATGATATGATACGCAGTTTTCGCGTGCATATGATACGCACTTTATGGCGTGTAATAGGCCCTTTTACAGCCCACGTGATCAAATAGTTGCGTGCGCGTTTTGGCAACGGAAGTGGTGTTTCCCACTGTCTGTAACGTGTTAGCAACTCCGAAAGTTTATTAAAACGGTTTCCCAGCTTCAAAATGTCTGGTTGTTGCGTTTACGGTTGCACTAATCAATATTCCACCAAGGGGCTTAAGTTTTATATTTCCGGCAGAATCACGGCCGTTTCAGGAGAACCGGCGGCGCCTGTGGCTGCAGGCGATTAAACGTGTTGATTGGAGCGAGAACAAAAAAAAAATCCGCTCGCGTAGCTTGACCGAGCTTGACACACTGCTGATTCTCGCCATACTTCCGCTGCCAATATGCGCGCGCATACGTTGCACGTCATCATTGTGTACAAACCGTAAAAGGGTCTATACACACGCACTCCCCACCCCCTCCCCCTAAACCTACCCATGGGGTTTTCAGTGTGTAGCATATAAACAACATTTTTGGCATATAAATTAGGCCTGTTGGAACGAATTCTGAAATTCGAAAATAATTCGAATGTTAAAAAAAAATCAGTTAAAATAAAATAAAAATTTATTTTATAAATTTCCTTTTATATGCAACCTTGCTTTTTCGCTGCCTTGGCTTAAACGCATGTGAAAATTAAATGCCTGTTTCGTCTGATGAACAATTACATTTTTGAATCGTAATACAAGTTATCCACGGTGAATCATCATAACAACTGTCAAAAATGGTAGCCTAAAAATGAAATTTTTTGGGTGGTGTTTTCGCGGATATATCAGCCGAAAACCATCGGAGGCACTTCAACCGTGTATTAGATGTGTATTAGATGTCCCTCTAGTGGACCGAACGTGTAACAACAACCACATGCTAAAGTGGCATTGGCGATCCATAAGCATGTGTAATGTCGTAAATATTAATAATAGAATACATTTTTGCATTTAATCTTCAAATATTATTTGAATATTAAATAAAATAAGGATGGGAATTCGAATAGTATTGTAGAGGAAGATTGACTGCCCTAGTATAAATGGCACGAGAAAGACATTCGTGGTATAGATACACACTTTCATGAGACTGTGTAGGACATTAAAGCCCGGCCGGAGTACTTTTTCAATGCTGCGTTCACACCATAGACTGTAAAAAATATGGACAAAGCGTCTGTGACGTCACCCATAGACTCTCTGAAGAACGGGTTTGAGGCTGTTTATGGGGGGTATGGGCGGCGCCATATTGGAAAATCTTGGAAAATACAAAAGTTTCAGAAAGGACACAGAGTTGGTATGATGTGTTGTGTCAGATCATGGCCGAGACGTCAAATTCACTCCGTTATCAGCTGTCAATCAAAGTTAACCGCCCTTATTTGTCATACGTTTTATATCTAAATATGATCTAAACTAACGAGCTAGAAAAAAATTCACCCCCCTCACAGTTGTCAGGCACGCAGAACATATTGAAGATTACAATAAAAGTCCATGGGACCAAACTGTAAACATGAATTTATGCTGTGAAAACGGACATTATAACATGACGTCTATGGATATTTGCTCCCTTTAGCGGATTTGAGATGTATTGCAGTTTATTGCACTTCCGGGTAAACTTAGAATGTTGCCGCTTGGTTATCACCAATCAATCACTCCTTTAATGCTGCGTTCACACCAGACGCGAATAGCGCGTCAAATTCATGCCTACCGTGTCCAATTATACGCGTGAACACTTTGAATCCATTCGCGCGTAAAGAGTGAAATTGACGCGCGTAGCAAACAAAAGTTTAGACTGCCTGGACATTCACCGTCCTCGCGGCTGCTGCAACTTGAGGGGGCTGGCTGCCGGACGACTCAACTTCCACGGACAGTTTTTAATGTTTTACATCAAAATTTTGCTTTAGTATAATTTTCGGGAAAATTAAGGCCGGTTTCGGGATTCGGGACAACAGCTTTACTTTAAACACACAACACCCCTACTTTAAACAGATTAGAAGTCAAAAGGAATATTATTATATGCAGCTCACAAAATAACACCAATGTCATGTGTTCACTGCCCCAACAAACGCAGGTACGTGGGAGCAGAAGTTCCCGAAGGAACTGACACACTACCGGCAATTCCGCGTCAATGAGAAAAAGCAGGTGCGTGTTCCCATGATGCAGAACAAGGGGAGTTACCTGGCGGCGGCCGACCACGAGCTCAACTGCGACATACTTCAGCTTCCCTACACCGGGAACATCAGCATGCTCATCGCCGTCCCTCAGAAACTCTCGGGAATGAGGTCCCTGGAGCAGGAGATCTCCCCAACCCTGATCAACAAGTGGCTTAACAACATGACCAACCGGTAAAGCACCATAAACACTAGACTGACACGTTAATGTCATCGACTCAATCACTTCAACAGTAGGATCCGAACTATTGTTGGTCCTGGAATAAAACTTAAGTTAACCCCTTAACTGTCACTTGCCCGGGCAACCTAAATTTACTTCACTATATTACTATTAAATCGTAATCTAGTCATGACAAACTATATATCGTTGGAAAGGTCTAAGACTCCTAAATAGATATTCTAGTGCTGTTTTTTTCTTACAAATTATGAATGAACAGTAATATACGAATTTATGACAAGAGTGCGCCTCAAAAAAAAACACGAGTTTCTGACCTTTGTCACAAAAAGTCGACTCACACTCTTTTAATAATTGAAACTTTGGTTTTTAGTGCTAAAAGATCATAATAAAACATAATTAGTATTTGTCAATAAAAAAAGAAAAATTATATTTTAAAAAGTAAGGTAATAAGTCCTCTAAAAAGTATAATATATTATATATATAAATATAATTTTGTTATTATTATTATATCACATATTTCAGTAGTTATCATAAATTAGGTATCATTTGAAAGCTTACGAACTCAGAATTCATCCTGTGAAAACCGTTTTGAAATTGGACGTTGCGTTATCATAGAAATGGTAGTTTTTTATTAGGCCCCTCCCCTTTTGGGCATCATCTTTTATAATTTATTAACAAAACCTTTTCTAATCTTTACAAAACACATATTGTCAAAAAGGTCTGAGTCTCAAGCTTCCATATTTAGTGACAGAAGTGATATTTGGATAAAAATTTATTAATTTGTTATGGCAGAATGCATACAATTAAATTCAATGAAATTCAATGGCACCCGGTGGCTATTTTTGGTACTACGCCTAAACAAAATCTCATGGGAACTTCAATTTTTGTGATATCAACTTTAAATTTGGAACACAACTTGGTTTGATATAAAGCTTTCATTTTATAGTAAAAATATTTATATTATATAAAAAAATATATATTTGATTTACGGTAAATTATAACTCCCATAACTTTTTCATACTTTAATTTTTTGAAGTGCTTCACTTCAGTAATAATCTGCTGATTGTTTTCTTTAAAACAAGACCAAACTTAAGGGGGGGGGGGGGGGTGTGTGACAGGAAAAGGGTTAAGTTTAGGTTTAATCATTCTTAACCAATTATTTTCCTTTGATTTCAATAATATTCAGTAATATAACTGACTGACACTACAGAATGAGAACAAAACTTGAACTGAATTGAGCTGGATGATGAAACCACTGCTGCTTTATAACCGATTAAATATATAGCTGCTTTGAAATGCAATATCTATGTAAAAAGAGCTATACATTATGTTTAGACTATTAGTGGTGTGTTATGTTCAGACAGAGCTTGATTATGATGATTTGGAAAAAGACAATCCAGGAACACGTCCTAATTGGCTAAATCATTCTTCAGTTGTATTCTAACACTCAAACTTCTCTTTCTGTGCTGGTCTCGGGCAGGACTCGTGAGGTGGTCTTCCCGCGGTTTAAACTGGAGCAGAACTATGACCTGATTGAGCACCTGAAGGAAATGGGCCTGACGGACCTGTTCACTGAAAAGGGCGACTTTTCCTCCATGACCTCCGAGAAAGTCATCATCAACTGGGTAACTGAATGAATGACACGTGCAAAACGAATGCAAGTGAAACTCAAAAAATTAGAATAATGTGCAATTCATTTCAGTAATTCAACTTAAAAGGTGAAACTAATATATTATATAGACTCATTACATGCAAAGTGAGATATTTCAAGCATTTATTTGTTCTTCTGATGATTATGACTTAGAAAATTGAATATTGTGAAAGCTTTTCATATCTGTAAGCCGCAATCATAACAATTATAACTTGAAATATCTCACTTTGCATGTAACGAGTCTATATAATATATTAGCTTCACCTTTTAAGTGAATGAACTTTTGCACGATTTTTTCATTTTTCGAGTTCTGTTTTCCTGTATTACATTTCCTGTATACATTAATCAAATATGCATCACATGATGTAAGAAACAGGCATTTTCCACTTTAGTTTGCCTACGCCTAATCTTTTATAAATACATCCTCTTTGACCTTTCATTCCTCTCTCTCAGTTTAAGCATCAGGGCACCATTACAGTGAATGAAGAAGGTACAGAGGCCGCAGCGCTGACACACGTCGGATTCATGCCTTTATCAACACAGACGCGGTTTGTGGTGGACCGGCCCTTCCTCTTCCTCATCTATGAGCATCGCACAGGCTGCGTGGTGTTCATGGGACGGGTGGTAGACCCTTCACAGAGTTAATCAGACACAATGCAGCCGACGCATCACCCTATAGCAATAAAACTAATAAGTTAGTCAAAACAATTATATCAAATAATAGTAGCCAGATATAAAGCAGATAGGAATGGAATGATGGTTGTGTTTGTTTATCAAGTAAATTGAGTTTTGTAAAGTAATGCAGTCGTGGTCAGAATTACTGTAAATATGAAGTGAGATGACTGTGAAAATAAATCTGCATTGTTTATCCTTTTGATCTTAGAATTAGCAAAAAACTAACCATTTATTGAAGTAAAAATTAAATAAAAATCCCATTATGAAACATGTTTTTCTCTAATGCACATTGGCCACAATCATTGGCACCCATTATGATTCTTAAGTATATTCCCATTCATATTTAAAAAAAAAAAAAATGAGCACACAATGTTGACTATAGGAACATTAAATTATCCAGCCATGTCTTCCTGTTCCACAAGAGTATAAATATGAGAAAACACAAAAGGCCTAGAAGTCCTAGACTTCTTTTTCAGATTCATGTTATTATGAATTCTAGCAAATACCAACAGATATAAAATCAAAACCTGACGGTCTCTGCTAGAAATCTTATAATTGGCTGTATTTGGATTTTCCATCAGGACAATGATCCAAAACAAACATTAAAACAACACACAAATGGGTCACTGAGCACAAAAAGGACCCAGACCTGAACCATAGAAAACTGAAGAGGAATGATCTCTGATCTCCACAACTCGAGAAGAAGTTACAAAAAACAATATTGAATAAAATAAAATTGTGGCCAAAGCGTATTAGAGAAAATCAATCCCCCATTTTCAATTATGTAGCAATGCAATTTATTTTCACATGCTTTTGATCATATTCATCAAGAGTCCCAATAATTCTGGCCGAGACTAAGTTCATCTGTGTATTTTTGAGGCAATAAAATGTTTATTGAAGTAATCTGTTCAAAGGGTGCATCAAAACAACGCTCGAGTACACCGACAGCACTGCAGAACATTTTGCAAGCCGAGTAAATATTTGTCAGGAAAGTTAAAGTCCAACCACAGACGCTCAAGACCCAATTACGATTTTTGGACATGAAGACCCAACAGACATCTTGCTTTTAACACAACGCAGGATCTCATGACAAACAGAACGAGATCTAATCTAATTTTATGTGGACAAAATCTTAGATTAGTTATTTTTATGCTTTCGGCAAATTTATTCTCTGATCTTAAAACGCATGCCTGTCCTCAGAGCGCTCATAAATCATTTATTAGTGAATAGGAAAACATTTCTCATTTCCATTTACATTTACATATTATATAAGACGTGAAACAGGCCCATAATATGCTGCTACTTATATTTTTTTTCATCTTAATGTGAACAACAACTCAAAACATTTAAATTATAATATTTAAAGGCTGCTTTCTTTGGCATTTAAATATTACAATAATATGATAATTTGTAGTGTTAATTATATTATTTGAGTGAGTGTGTGTTAGTGAGTGAGTGTGTCTTACCACAGCGATTACAGGGATGAGGACACCTAGATTACCAGCACTGCTGGATGCCTAGGGAAGAAATAAAGAAACTAAATGAACAGCATCGACACACACTGAAGCATCAGAGGATCCGCTGATCTGCATTCACTATAGCTAACACACATCGTCTTAAAGAGTACAAACTCTCCGGATCAAAACACAAGCAGAAACAAGTGCTAAAATCATGTAAAATAACAAGATCATCAACATTAAACTGCATATAAATCAAAACTGCCTGATGTACTGAATGAAGTGTCGGCTCTCGATCGACTCCATCTGTGTTTTGATCATCGTTCTGAAACGGATCCAGACAAAAACGTGATTTTCTAAGCTTTATGTTGCTTTTTTACGGAGGCGCATTCACTTGAAGAAAAAAAATCTACTCTGTTTTTCTGAATTAACGAGTTAGTTTTTCATGAGAAAAAAAATTGCTCTGTTTTTCTGAATTAACGAGTTAGTTTTTCATGAGAAAAAAAATTGCTCTGTTTTTCTGAATTAATGAGTTAGTTTTTCTTGAGAAAAAAAAGTTTTTGCTCTGTTTTTCTGAATTAATTTTTCATGAGAAAATTTATTTTTGCTGTTTTTCTAAATTAACTCATTAATTCAGAAAAACAGAGCAAAAATTTTTTTCTCATGAAAAATTAACTCATTAATTCAGAAAAACAGAGCAATTTTTTTTTTCTCATGAAAAATTAACTCGTTAATTCAGAAAAACAGAGTAGATTTTTTTTCTTCAAGTGAATGCAATACGCCTCCGTACTTTTTACACCTGGTTAATTGAGTTTTCACTGGCCGGATCACCATCTGCTTTGATGAAACAGTTCCAGCTACACCAGATCAGAGAACGCATGAAGGCGCAAACAGGCATTTTAATCAAACTTACCCACATTCAAGGGTTGATTTAAAAAAATACGCATGAAGCTAGAATAAAAAAAATGTTTTTTTAAACCAGAGACTCTGTTCTTATATATAATGCATACGGTATATTCTGGGGGACATTACATTTTTGTTAAAATTATCTAAAATGCTGACAACTTTTTTAAAAGCGCTGGCGGGGAAAGAGTTAATAAGGCTACGTTGTAATTTTCGGCACTTTGAAACAACACAGCATTGTTTCATTGTTTCATTGTAATTATTTTGTCTTTTTTCTGAATTTAATAGAGAACTCTGTTCAAACACACTGCGCCGTCTGAGTCAGGTGACTGTAAAAACTGTTTCCATCGCAGTTTAGAAAAATATTCCTTTTCCGAATTGCCTGGAAAATCTCCTCATGTGAGCGGAAAAAACTTTTTTGTGAGTTTTTGCGAAATTGACGTGTTTCCATTCAATTTGCAATTTCAATTTGTGTAATTTGAACACTGACTTTGAGGGCCGGGCCCTTGTCACTGGCGCGCTCGCTGGCTCTCTTGCCCTCGAGGCCGAGCTGAACGAACAGCTCCAGCAGATTCACCAGCAGCTCGTCCTCCAGCGGCTCCCCCTGCAGGTTAGCCGCGATATTAGCCAGAGCGTTGATCACCGCCAGAGAGCAGTGCCTGCACACACACACACACACTTCACATCAAACCCCCCGCAGACACACACTGGAAACAGATTAATAAAGTCACATCATGGAGAAAAAGTAACTTTCTCTGAACTAAAAATATATTAAAATTAAATAAAAAAAAAAAAGATGGTTCCGAAATCATCTCTATTGTTAGCTCATTAACATGAGCCCACCACAATGAACATATCACAGATTAATTATTGAGAATCTATAATATAAATATTGATTGACAAGAGTAAATTATGGCGATTCATGAGGGTCATTTTACATAATTCTATAATTAAAATAGTTTAATTTTTTATAGCACATTTCTAGAGCAGAAGAGTGATTCATATTTACATACATTCACAAGATACTGATATCTAAAAAAAAACACAATTGCAAAAATAACACTCACACACTCACTCTCTCTCTTTCACTCACACACACACACACACACACCTGTATCCGTGGTCCCTGTAGTCTCTGGTGGCAGAATACACCACGTTACTGGCTTTGACGCTGATCTGCTGGAACAGGTTCCACACCTCCTGATAGATGTATTGCTGTAGTAAAAACACAAAACACACCGCCGGTTAGAGAAACACATATTATACACACTCCATTATGATCAAGATCAGGGTTTAAAATTAAAAATCATCCGTGGCAAGTAACACGGCCGGGTTATGATTCATAAATGATGTCCTCCCACATATTTTGGGATGAGCTTTCATAGGAGAAGTCAGAAAAAATAAATAAATAAATTAAAAAAAATAATATATATATATATATATATATATTAGGGCTGTCAAATGATTAATCATGATAATAAAATACCAAAATAAAAGTTTTTGTTTACATAATATATGTGGGTACACTGTGTATAATTATTTTATATATATATATATATATATATATATATATATATAAATACGCACACATGCTTGTATATATTTAAGAAATAATTTGATGTATATAGATTTATATATAATTTATATTATATAAAAATAAATAATATTTTTTTCTTAAATATACATGAATGGGTGGGTATTTATATATATACAAAATAATTATACACAGTGCACCCACATATATTATGTAAACAAAAACTTTTATTTTGGATGTGATTAATCATTTGACAGCCCTAATATATTTGTGTTATCTCAGTTCTCATTGATCTGAGCTGATAAATAATCTTGATCAATGAGGCTTACGATCAATCAGTTCCAAAAAGAAATACAAAGCCTGTGCCAACGGAAAGAAAACAAGTTGATAAAAACATTGAATCAATATTTGACGATAATACCTCATAATGAGAGATTCACGAGCGATTAAAAAGGAACAGTAAATCGTGACGGATTTTCAACACAATCTAAAAGGAATTGATCTGATAATCTCATTTATTTCTGATCCTTTTGTTGTTGTTGTTTTATTAACAAGACATATACAAAGTAATAGACAAATGACACACATTCTTAGAGGGGAGAAAAGCCTAATATAGTGTACACAGGTACGTAATAATTTTAATGAATATATAACATCACATATATATATATATATATATATATATATATATATAACATCATTTTTGATTATTATTATTATTTATTTATTCTATTTTCCCCCCTTCCTTTCCTTAGTGAAAAAAAATTATAGAAATAAACTGAGTGATTAATAGATATTCTATTCTTTTGTTTGGGATAGTAGAAGTTCTAAATGGCCGTGAATGAGTGAAAAAGTCTCATCATGTTTGTAACAGTTTTCATCGCGACTCCTCGTCTTCATCTGTTGTTTAATTCATCGGTTCGACAGTTTCTATCCAGTACAGTGGATTACAGTAATTAAGAAACGATTGAAGCCACTGAAAATAAATGCAGCGTTGCTGTTGCAGCTTTACACATCAAACGGCTGTAATTACGCAGTCCGTATGTGTGTGTGTGTGTGTGTGTGAGAGACAGACGCTCACATTCCCCGTGATGACCATGCAGCCCAGCTGGTCTATGATGAGCACGTCTAGCGGCGAGGGCGGCTGGCAGAACTTCTGCTGCAGGATCTGCAGGATCGGCTCCATCACTTTAGGACTGTCTCTCATGGCCACCGCGATGTGACCCAGCGCCCGGATGGTGTGGTCCGGGATGAGATGGGCTTCCCTGAGGAGACACACACACACACACGTGTCAGTCATTTAAAGTTCAGAGGTCAGCACAGGGAATAGCATTTATACAGGGATACAGACACTGCATGTGAACCATGGGAGAGGAGCAAAGGAGAGAGAGAGCGAGAGAGATATATAAGAAACTGCATGATCTATACTAGAAATAATATAATAAGTAATATATAAAATACATCAGATATAAAATAAATAGATACATTAATATAATATAAACAGTTGATATCTTATCAGTTTGTATGATTTGTATTTAGAAAGGCTTTTATATGCTGATTGTCTTATTGTTTTATTGTTTTTAGTATTCTGTAGCTATTATTGTTGTTCTTTTATGTAGCACTTTGGGATTCTTTGGAATGAAAAGTGCGTTAAAATCTATTATTATTATTATTATTTGTATCTTTATCCGTTGTTTAATTCATCGGTACGACAGTTTCTTTCCAGTACAGTGAATTACAGTAATTAAACAAGCGAATGAATCGAGACACATCTTTACACATCAAACAACTGTAATTTATGGAGTCCGTGTGTGTGTGTGTGTGTGTGACAAATCCTCACATTTCCTGTAAATTGATAAAGAGATCCAGTATTTTTATGATAATACAGCATAAGGAGAGGTTTACGAGCAAATGAACAGGCAAAGTAAACGATAAAGGCTTTTCAACACAATCTAAAACCTAGAGATATAAAGTGATGCAAATCAGTTTATATCTTAATATGAAATAAA